TGCTTGTTTGCTTGTTTTTTGTTCTTTTAATATTTCTGTTGAACCACAATTCAAAAGCAATGCCATGATGTTCATTAAATGTTTTTATTTATTATTACTTTAGCATGGAGAAAGGGCATGAAGGGTCTCTAAAGCAATAAATAAAATCTACATCCTAAAACACACACGGAATCAGAGTGAAGAGGAACAAACAGGAGTGATGTGATTGTGCCTCTTTTGTGAGTTTTGTACAGTCTGAAGTTGATCAGCAGATTTCTGGTTCAGGCAGGTGAAAAGGCTTTTGCAGTAAAGTGTATAAAAAGGTTACTGTGTCTTCAAAGGTAAACATAAATTTAGTGTTTTGGAGATCTAAGAAATCAAAGATGAAAAATGCTTCTGCGTAAATCTGGATTTTCATCATCTCAACAGACAACAGTCAGAGTCAGCAACACAAAATATATTAAAAAGAAAGAAATGTGTGGACAACAGACACAAATAGACAGCACTGGGGTGAAAAGGGGGCATTAAATGTGACAATAAATCTCTAAAACAATCCTGAAGCAAAGAGCAAATTATGCTGCTGTCTGTAGGCATTTTCAAAATGTGCAGTTTTGTTCATTTTAGCTCCACATAAGTCACTTTAATTCACTCAAGTCCTGTTTAAACTACACCCAGCTATTAAAGCCTCATTTACAGAGCAGCAGAACAAGAAAATAAAAAATGTAGACACATGAATAAGAAACCTGATCAATCGTAAAAAGTAAAAGTATTAATGTAAGCAAATAAGGCAAATTAATAAAACCACTACTTAGAACAGATGAGTCAGCTAAAACAAGAACAGCTGGAAGTAAAACAGGATTGAATTACAAACCTGAGTTGCCCCGAGGATGAAACTGAGTCAAGCTTTAGTTTGTCCTGCAGGTTGTTCCAGGTTGAAGGTGAACACTGAGTAAAACTGGATTTTCCAAAAGCTCAGTAAAAACAGCTGACACCTGAATTACTTGCATTGACATTTAACTTTAATGCTCTGCTCTAAAGAAAAGTGCTGTTGGCTTTGCTTTTTACACAACTTTTATCTCTTCCAGTTAGCTGAGCTTTATGTAAAGACTGGAAACAAGCAGCTGGTTCTGTCCAAAAGCAACAAAAACTCACCGATACACTCAATTGATCTTGTTTGTTGTATTTATACATAAATCAAAGTGTAGGAATGACATGTTGCTGTAGTTTAAAGTGTCTGGAACATGAAAAATGGCAAACTGTCATTGTCAGTGAAGGGATTGAGGTTGTGAGTCCCTCTTATAAGTTGGGAATTTTAGCAAATTACAACAAGAAAATGTAGTAGGAGAAATTTTACAGGCAGATTTAACCATTTTTAAATGATATATATTTTAAAAAGCAGCATTTTAACACCAGATGTATGCCTCCTTTAGTGTACAGAAAGCTCTGAAACAGCATTTATGTTGGGAAATTAATGTAATGAGATAATAAAACCAACAACAACACAGTAAAATAGAAGAAAGTCTTAATATACATTTTTTACGGGAGGTAATTCGACATATTTCTATAATCTTGGCTGCCACTCTGCATTTTGGATCCCTCTGTGCAGAAATGCAAAGTATTTGTTGTGACATGCACGTCTCTCCGTCGCTGTAAGTTTGCAGAAGATCACTTTGAAGGGACTCCTGCATCTGTATTTTATTCTGCTGTCACCGTATGTTGGAAACTCTGTTCATAAGTTGGCTCAAACAAACCGTCAAAATGTGTTCGAACTGTGGAGCCTAAATGAAGTCAGAATAAACATTACAAAATGAGACGGAGCAGATAAGGCCGTGAGATTCTCAAACACGATCATAATCAAGTGAAAAATTGGAGTTTATGTGAAAAAAATGCCATGATTTTGTCTCACATGAGCTCATGTGTACAAAAAAAGAGAAGTGTCGACTTATAATGAGGGACTGAGGAATAAAGATCTCCGGGTGAAGCAGAGGTTCTGTGGAGATGAGTGGTGCGACTCCCAGGCTGGTTAATGTTTGGTCAGATATTGCAGATAGGGAACCGTTTCCTGCACTTCCACTCAAAGAATGGCTGCATACCAGCCCCAATGACTCACTGCTGCCATATAAACCAGCCAGGATCATAAAACACTGTGAAACATTGTTTTCTGGAGAGGAAACATGACGGACAGGGGAGTCCAGGACAGGTGAATCCTGTTATCAGACAATATCTGCATGTCTCATTAATACCTGTGACTTCATGGGAAACCGCTGAGACGATGAAACTGAACAGAAATGAATGAAAACGAAGAACAAACCTCAGCCGCTGCAAGCTGTCACAGTGATTTTTATGAGCTTCCTTTGCTTTTAGCGCCATCTTGTGAACGTAGCAGGGCTGCAACAGACTTGACAGGCAATGGCAGCAGCTGTAGTTGAATTGAAGCACTGCTTCGAATACATTTCACTTTGTGCCTTAGTGAGGGCAGTTCATTTTTTTATTAACTTGAAAATACATTTTATCTCTTTCAACTGGTTTCCTAATTCCACAAAAGATGTGAAAATTAGATTTAGTGCTGATGTCCACTTCAGATTTTTCTGCTGCAACTCAAGTTCTATTTTGTTAAAGCACAATAACAGAGTAAAGAAAAAGGCTGACAAGTAAGTCTAATGACAAAATAATGTTTTACATTTTACAGTTTGGGTGAAGTAAATACGGGTATTGGGTAAAATGTAAACGTTCAGCGGATATTCTTTAAAATTAAATTTTATCAATGCTCATTTGAGAGGAATCAAATGATCCAAGCAGATCTAACTTAAACCAGTGGCATTGACATACTTGCTGTTTAATTTGCATCAACCTAATTTAAATGTATGTTACTGGCTGAAGCATTTTATTTAAGTTAGTCCAACAATTTTCATGTTCAGTGTGAACGATCTTCAGGGTCCTGATGTTGTGAATCCTGGTTAATCAGGATCTTTAATGGAACTAAACTATGTCGTGAAATAGAACATTTACAATTTTATACATGATCTATTTGTATTTACTGGTACTTAAAGTTGACACACATATACCACTGCAGCAGACAAAAAAATAAAATATTTCAATATTAAACCACCCATCTGGTTCTGTGTGGTTTCATGTCCCTTTTTTTCAAAAATCTAAAGTACACAGTTTGGCAGGTTCTGCAATTTACAGTTATTTTGCAGGTTATCAAATTCAGTCCAGAAGTCTCATCTGAACTTTTCTTTCTTGGATACGACTGATAAAGTAACACAGTGCAACCTGAGCGGACAGAAGTCTGATTATCTCCATCAGGCCTCACTGGCTTTAGCCACACAAATATTCAACAGGAATCCAAAATAAACAACTTATTTTTTATTTCTTACATCTTACAATGATGAATTTAAACTTGAAGATTTGAATATTGGACATTTTCTACCTTCAACTGTGAGGCCTCGAAGTCAAACTTAGGAGAATGCCATCCTCAAACCATTTCAAGGAGGCAACATTTAAACCCGATTAAAAGTTGGACAGGGATGTAAGTTTAGTGTGACTTAAAAGCAACAATCAGTAATAAATAATAATAAAAAATGTATATTGTACGTATTTACAGGGTGCTCAAAGATGGATAATAAAACCGACAGCGTTCGTTCGCTGGCAGTAATCTTTACGCCCTTTCTTGAGGTCAGAATGTGTGCTGTTGAGTAGAAATGTTTGGACACTATCAAGGTGAATTCATTCCAGCTGAATGCGACAGCAGCTAAATTCACAAATTATTTTCTTGTCAACAGTGTGACTTTATGAACAGAATAAAGCAGGTTAAAGTGGACTTTCTGCAGCACCACTGCACCATGTAAAGTCTTGATGGTTCATCATCCACAAGTACAGACATAAATACAAACACAGCAACAAATTAAAGGAAAAAAACCAACATAAAGTGTCTTGATAAGACGCTGGTTCTTGATGTGCCACTAAAACAGCTTCAAAGCTCCTTAGTGTTGATTCTCCAAGTGTCTAGAACTCTACTGGAGGGATGAAACGCTGTTCTCCCAAAAGATGATCCCTCATTTGGGGTTTTAATGACGGTGGTGGAGAGCGCTGTCTAACACGTCGGTCCAATACCTCACATAGGTGGGCTGAAATCTGATGAAGGCCACAGAAAATTCATCCATCCATTATCTATACACCGCTTAATCCTCATTAGGGTCGCGGGGGGGCTGGAACTTTTATGGAACCATTCAGTGACCTCTCGTCCCCTGTGGATGGCGCCACTGTCAGCCTGGAGGAGACCTTGTCCATCAAGACAGAAGTGTTTCAGTGTGGGTTGAAGGTTTCCTTCAATGTAAAGGTCAAGAGTTCAGGGTTTTCCTTAAAGAACATAAAACACTCAGTGGCAGGGTCAGTTCAGGCCAAAGGTCTGTGAGATTTTGTATTATAGTTGTTGAATTTGTTTGTATGTATTCACGTCGTCGGAACAGGTGGAGCTTCTTCCCCACCCAGCTTGAAAAGGATTTTTAAACCTTATCTGAGAGGGTTTTGCATCATCACTGTGCAAGATCGCACATTTTGTTGAACTGTACATTTCATTGTTGTCTAGAACTGTCTATCTTTATGTACGTCGATTATGTCTTTGAGTATTTGAAGTAAAGAAACACCAAAACATACCACACTAGGTTCCAGTTTCTATGAAAACAAAAGTGAAACTGCAGCTTCCTGACTCACTAAACGTGTTAATGCCTCCCTCTGCTGGACACCAACGGTCCTACATCCTTTAGAACAAAAGTGAAAATGTTTCACTGTTATCTCATGTTTACGCTCCGATTTACTGAATTCAACCCGAGGAACCTCAGATTCTGCACTTTGAAAACTGAAAATTGGATGAAAATCAGATGCTTTCTCCGTGCAAATTCCAAAGAGAGACGTATAAATGGATGAGATTCATGGAGCTACAAGTTGCCGTCGAGTGAATCTGACCTTTCATCTTTGGAGACACACATCCACACACGATAAAACAGAGGAGACTCCTCTTACTTACTCAACTCAGTTTATTTACAGAGTGTTTGAAGAGCCATGTATGCAAATGTACTGAAATTACCGACAGAACTCCTCTTATTTTCCTTTACACATGGGGAGCTGATTAATCAGAGTTTGATCTCTTGATAGTTTGATCTAAATGCTTCAAAAATCCAGTGAGTGACTGTTTCTCGGTTTAGATTACTGTCAAGTCCCTTCAGGGAAACAATAAATTAACCAGGTTTGTTTTTTGTTTTTGTTTTTTTTAAGCCGTGCTCCGTCTTTCCAGACTTGAGTAAATGTTAGGAACAGTTAATATGTTGTGGGTGAGGACAGGACACAAACAAATCTAAGCAACAACGCCGAGCCTGCGATAATCTGACAAAGAGCAAAGAAAAGAAGAAGAACCGAAAAAGAACACTCAACAGAAACACTACGACATGACGCCCCTCAGACGAGCCAAACTGAAGCAACATGACCGCAGAGGCTCTAAACTACACGGCCTGTAAAGTCATGATCTGATCCCTCTAAACCATCAATACAGCTTCTTTTAAAAGGAAAGTTTAAGAAGTTTTACACGTTCATGACATCGATGCTCTTCAGCCAATACAAAACCCATAATCGCATGATAAAATCTTTACGTTTTGAACACATTTTTTATTTGTAACACCACTTTTTCAGCTACCACAATGACCCAAATTCCCCTCAGGAGTCAAATAAATGCACTTGTATAATCATCACAGATCAAAAAAGAGCAAAAGCAGGTTAAGACCGACTCAGAAACTTTGTAAAAGACGACAAAAACTCTCAACTTTCCCTTTAAAGGAAACAATGCCTCCAATCTGACTAAACCCACCCGAGAAGAAAACTAGTTTGAACTGTCCTGACATCAGTTTGGTTATGCCTTTTTTAAAATTAAAAAAAAAAAAAAATGAACACTGAAAATAAAATAGAGAACAGGCAACATAGATAGCATGGACAGACGGTTAAAAAAAAAGGAAAATAAAAACGTTAACTTCCTACACTCTTAAAAAAAACGACGTCATTTTCAACACATCTTCTACATGATTACAGTTAGTTCCTTTTCCAGCGAAAACATTTAGTCTTTCTACCTTTCTGAATGTGTTGGGAATGACTTTTTAATCATGTGGAAGTGCTCTGCTCACCCTCCCCAAACTGTCCGACAAGGTTCGAAAGCTGATCGCTGACAAAAACAAAACAGAGAAACGAATGAAGCAAACATTACATCAACAGTTTCTGAGACCTAAACGTGTGAATCTTGCTTTACAACAGCAACACTTCATACTACCGACGTTAAACCAGCGGATTTTAAGATTATGATGACTGGCTCAGGCATCTGATCACACAATTATCTGTCTTTTGCATCAACTTAGGATCTATTTTGAGATGTAAAATTACACCTGCAGGAGCCACAAACGGACCCTAACCGTTGACTAAATGCTTTTGAATATTAGCCGTGACTATGAAGTGGTATCGGCGAATTTGGCAGGTACTTTTAGGAGGTCTATAAATGTATTTTACAGTAACAATGTTGTCTGTTTCTGTCCTTTGAGACCATTGAGTTCAGCTAGATTTTGTTGAAGAAGAGCTTGAGGTTGTATTTGCTGTGTGAAACCCTTTAGATTTACTTGCTGTCATGTCAGATTTTACAAATAAAATCACTTTTGCTGTGCGATTAAAAACAGTTTGTGTGTTTTAGCATTGGGTGTCCCATGTGCTCCTGTGATGATGCTACAGTAGCTGCACCACCAACTACATGTTCGGTGTTTTGAGGTTCTGGCAGGAACACACAGGAGTGGAATTCACTGTATTCCCCTAAAAACAGTAAAGGGAAACCTCCTCACTCGTATTGTTACTATCGGTGGTGGAGAGCACAGCTGTGCACACTCTTATGTGCTAAAACACAACATGTCATCTCACAAAAAGACATAAAGATGTGTTGACAAATAATGCATGTGTTAAAAGAAGGACAGCTTTAATGCATGTATATTTTGCAAACGTACCAGTATGTGCCTAGTTCAGGACAACATATTGCATGTGATTTTTAAGACTGTAGTGGGGAGGGTGTCATTCTCTGTCCATGCATTTAAATAGCAACACAGGAAAAAAAAAAAAAAAAGGCTAACACACATTTAACGCGTCTTAGAGGAAAATAAGTCACCCAGAGGTCTGCAGCAGTAAATCTCATCATTTCTTTCAAATAGATTTGGACTTATAATCTTTTTTTTTTTTCTCTTTTTTTTTGTGTCCGTTAAATTCAAATGTTGACAGAATAGGAGTACATTTTTTTTTTTTGTGGATCACATTCAGACGCCTCGTTTCTCTTCTTCTACATGTCGTTGACCGCGTAGAGCCTGGTCCATGTTCGGGCTGCCAAGAGACAAACACAGAACAGTGGCGTCAGGTGTGAAGGTAGAAAGCAGATGTAGGACAGTAAATAGAGTTAACACAGACATGCTTCATCAAACCCAGAGCAACACAGAGCCTACAGTGACTGGAAGGTTCTGCTATTTGCAAACACAAATTCAAACTAATGAGTCAGTTAATCAATGAGGTCATTGATTTGAGGATTAATTCATAATTCAAAATGTTTATCAAGCAAACACCTAAAACTTTTATTGGTTCCACCTAGGACACCAACCTAGAAATATTAATATATGATCTGCTGACTATGTGAGGTAACCACGTGGTCTTAAACCCTCTGAACCTCAAGCACTTCCTGTCACATTTTCAGTCACTGTGGGCTCATTTTCCACTGCAATATAAAGTCCTCCATCTTTATGGAAACAGCACAACCACCACTAGAAGCAGAGGGAAACTTTGAAATGTCTTCTGTGCAGCCTGACACAGTGACAATACCATAAACCAGAAATTTAAACATTTTTCTTTGATTATCTATTTTACATTTTTTAAAAATCTAGAGCTACATGTACAACATTTTTCCAAGTGCCCACAACACTAGAAGAAAAATCTAACTCTATAAGTAATTGACTGGTGAACTGTGTGCCTCAGATGAGTACTTTAAGGACCATTTGAAAGGTAAAAAGCCAACAATTCTTTTTGTTTTGCAGTTTCTGGGTCTGACAAGGTGCAATCTTATCAATTTTAAAGAAACGAAAATATGACGTGCCTTTCAAAGCCAGTGGCAGGTTTTGCTGTTTCCAGGGTTCAGTTCTAAGGAACCAGTTTTCTAAAGCTGGACCGACATGTTTAAGTTGCTTCTCATATATTCTCATAGAAGATGAGAACCCAAAATGTTGTTATTGTACTTTTAGTAAGTTACTCAAACACATTATATGATTAATAAAATGACGTGTTTCAGCTTTTATTCCAGCTGCCCTTTTCAGAATCAGTCTTACTGCCAAGTAGGTTTTCACATACGAGGAATTTGACGTGGTGATGACTTTATCATTACATTACATTACAGTCACCACAGACAAGTAAAGAGGGTTTTCATAGTCTTCTATGCATTATACGAAGCATACTTGATGACACTGGCATCCTTATTGCTGTCAGTTGACAAATGAAATAGTTTTTTTGAACAACCATCACTCGGCAGATGATGAGGCTTAAAGATGGCAGTTACTAACACACACACACACACACACACACACAACCTCCATTGTGTTGTTATTGTCCATGTTGTATTGTTTTGTTTGCCATGTTTAAACTGTACATGTTTGCACTACCTGTTTTTTATATGGCACTACTGTTTCCATATTTCTATTTTTTGTCTTATTTTATCTTTTTGCACTGCATTCTTTGCACTAACACTTTAGCTCTGGATCTGGGAAACGCTGTCTCATTTCACTGTACTGTACAGCTGTATGTGGTTGAAATGACAATAAAGCCCTTTGAATCTGAATCAGTTTTGTTTGAAAATATTTTTTTTAAAAATCATGTTGTACACATTGAAGTGGTTAATTTTATTGCCTGGTGTGTACATTTAAACAGGAGGGTATTTTCTGTCTGCATCTGTCAGTGGACCATTTGAAAAAGAGCATGCATAATGATGTGTTAATTACACGACAACAGAGACGATGTTTTCAGCAATTAGGTGGGAAAAAATATGTGCATTCATCAGTATATGCACTATGCAAAAGTGAGCAGCAAAATATTGCCAAAACTCTAATACTGCACATTTCAGTGTTAGATCATTCTGACTTTGTTATCTTTAAGTTTGGTTTACTGGTTGAATGAAAGAAGCACTGTGAAGACATCATGTTGAGCCCTGAGCAAGCGTGATGGGCTCCCAGAATAATGAAACAATGACTGAATAACTTAAAACTACTCTTGACTGCATAACAATACTGCATTGTTCTTTTAGCTTCTTTGCTGAAAAATATTCAAGGTACAGGGAGAAACTGTTTAAATGATGTTTTGGTTTTCCAAATCCAAAAAATAATAATTGGAATCACAGGCATTTCCACAGGATCAGACAGACAAACACTGTTCAAAAGCCTGTCTCAAAAGCAAACATTTATATTGCGATGGATTACTGCACACAAACGGTGCTTCTAAGCCTCGTGTTTCCACTCCAACGTTTAGTTTCAATTGACAGAAAAGCTGATATTAAGGTAAATATTACATTAAAATGACTTTGTCTCTCTGCACTTGGCCCAGAAAAGCCTCTCGAATTTTTACTTCCAGTAAGATAATGAAAAACTCTTGAAGCACTGGAGCCTTTTTCTACACAATATATTAAATTGCACTGTTCTGGGAGAGCAGCAAATACATCTAATTGAAGAAATGTTCTTAATGGAGTGTGTTGTCAGATTATGTTCCTACCTTTGTCCCTCCCACAAAGTCACTGACAGAGTTTTTTTTTTCCTGACATCCTTCACCATTGAGAAAGTGACACCAGTCCATTAGATCATTTAATACAATCTGTAATGTGGGTGGTAATTCAGAGGTCTGGTACTGAGCTACTGTTTGCTGCCATCTGTCAAAGCATTTCTCATACTGGAAATCTGTGGCATTAGAGTTCAGAGCAGCCGATCCCATGTGCTTAAAGGGACACATGAATCCACTCCTCACCTGTCTCAATGGCATGGCTTTCGTTTTTCTTCCACTGCTCTGCGACATCGTTTGCCAGGGGATCATCTGGATTGGGAGCACTTAATAACGCCTGGATAGATAGCAACACTGTACGGATCTGCAGGGCTGGAGACCACTTGTCTGTGAGAAGATCAGAAAAGATGCAAAAAAAAGGACAAACAAATGACAGGTTAAGGGTCAGATATGGAAAACGGGGGAAGAGACGTGACGGCAGGAAAACAGCCACAACACGCTGGTGACAGAGACGACAAACAGCAGCCAGGCCGGCTGAGAGTTGAAGCTGATTAGAAAGCGCTGTGAGAGCCACTTGTTCCTAAGGCTTTTTGATAATGGAAAACAACTCTGGCTCTGGTAAATCTCACAAATCACAACAACTGAGTGCAGATCAGTGTGCCTGAAAATCACAGCGTTTCTTTAATACCTTAATGCATGTTTGGCAGCCGCTCTGCTGCTCTTTCCAAATAAACATTACTTTGAGCTTGTCTACCTTGGAACTTTGATTTAATGGTTGTAATCACATGTGCCTCTGGTGGCTTTCTGTATACATAAAAAGCTGCTTTTCAGCCGTTTCATATCATAACTTTCTCTCTGTGATTCCATGCTCCACACTGCTGCTGTACTGATGCGTGCATATATAAAAGATGGATGGAAGCTCTGAGTGCGAAAAGTGAAATCAAATGGGGGCAACTACTCTGGTTATAAAAGGAAGTCAGATTGTATAGAAGTTTATGAAAAAAACAAACCCACTTATTTCTATCTGTTACTGTAATTAACAGTTTCATAATGAGTTCATGGTATTATTTGCAAATCCAAACTAAATGAGGGTGTGTTTTAGGGCTGGACTACCTTGTGATTGACATTAACTACTGTTTTTTTGCTGCCTCCCTGGTGTTATACGACAGAAAGCTAATACAAGGAAATGTTTGGTTGAGCAGGACAAGTTACAACAATTAATTTTATTGCTAGTGAAATGCAAGACAGTCTGTGAATGTCATATAGACAAAAAAGCCATTAATGTGAGGGATTTTTTTGTCATTTGCAGCAGCTTAAACTGCTAATGAAGCACCACGTTTTTACAAGGAAAGCAATAAAAGCTACTTTATAGTCCTGCAGAATGCTGACAGTGTGGTTTCATGCTGATGTCGACCAGAAAAAAAACATCACATATAGACATAAAAGAAATCATTTAAATTAAATAACTGACATTTTTTTCTTACCTTTCAAAATGTCTAAACATATTCTTCCCAGTTTGTCAACATTGGGGTGATAGATTTTGGTCATGAATCGCACTTTGGGAGCTGCCATGGGATACTCTTCTGGAAGAAATAGTTCAAGTTTAAATGTGCCTCCTTCAAAAGGAGAGTCTTGAGGCCCTGCAATGACCACATGGAAGTAGCGTGCGTTCCCTTCATCAGGTGTAGCCGTGATCCCTGGAACAGGCTCTGCCATCAACCGCTGTGTCTCCTGAATGTGGTCAGAAGGGGAGAAACACATAACACTGTTGTTGACATTTTTGAATTTTAAAAAACAGGGCTGTAGGAAGAACTGTGGGGGTGTCATCAGACAACAGACTTTTAAGTGTATAATGGATGAGAACGTACATTTTCACCCGGGTTAGTCACGCACACACACTTTCAATTCACCCACATACAGACAAGACAACAACCATCGAGCTACAGAAACTAAAAAAGCAGATGAGGGCTGGAGCACTTCTCACTTACTGCACAATGACTTACTTTAAAGTGAACACAGAACTTTCCACTGGGCTAAACAGCTAATTTGGCAAGCAAAATGAAATTCAAAGTAACACTAACATTCATTGGCCCCATCAAATAATCTGCTAAGTATTTTGTATGCTTCGGTCTAAAAGTTGTAAGAAAATAATAACAAATGTCTTTATTTTGCCAGAGCTTGTTCTATCTCACTGGATGTAGACCTCAGGTATAAGCCGGCCATATTTTCTCCTCCCTTTCTGCTCTCTACGCCTTACTGTACTTAAAATCTCTTTCATTAAAGGAAATAACAACCACCTCTATCTGGGCTACTAACTTATTTTGCAGAGAATGTGGATTGTACAAAAAGCTAGTCCTGCTCGGTTTTTTGGCAAATGATCAATTTTAACGACCGCAATTGCCCTCCAGCATGCAAATGTTCCACCACTACACTTTTGCCGTCACTATTTTGAGGGGACATCGTTTCTGCGTCCTCGTATTGCTCCGTACAATTTAGTGGCGCTTGGTTTGACAAAGTCCAAACCAGCCACAGCATTTTATTTCACTATAGCAGATTGATAGGGGTCAATTCATGCCTTTAGCGTTTGTGTGTGCAAACCGATGTGGACTTTGAAAGCGGATGCAGTTCTGTTCATATCACCATGGGTTCGCATTGGTATGACATGCAGATGGTCGCACTGCCTCTCGTATCGAACACAGAAAAACACATGGGGCTTCTTTGGATGTTTCTGAAAGGCTGTGACTTTGCACTTTTTATAACGTTTTATAGCAGCTGGTTACAGATTGAGTTGAAGCACAGAATCAGTGATTATTCCTGAGATGTGTTTGGCACAGTGGACAAATAGCACAGGATGTCTGGAAAAGTCAGAACTTCCCACTGTGTTTGGGTATGTATCAATTAAATCACCACCAAAGTTTGACAGTGACTACTTTGATCAAAACTTATCTGCAATGAGCTATAAAGGTGTGGATGACGGAGGATATCCTCACAGACTCTCTTCTAAACAAGTATTTGTTTTCCTGGCACATGTGGAGCCCAGTCGGTGCTGTAAACTGATCTGGCTATGTATCAAACAACTTAAACTGAACATCCAAAATCCAAAGTTACTCTAACAAATAAAAAGGTAAACCAGGGAAATCTTTCATTTAAAGGTAGCATTATAGAACATTAAATTAAAAATCAGTTATAAAAACAGCTGTAGAATAATAGCTTATTAATTCTTTGACTGTTTTTCTGTAATTGTATGATCTATTTTAGAAACCTTTCTTTCGGTATGCATAAAAATTGCATTATCAACTTTCAAAATTCTAAATTTAACTGCAGAACGGTAGCACTGTGTAACACTAAAGCACAGCCTTCGGTGGAAGTCAAAAGGAGGAAGTGGAGCATTTTTCATATTTCTGCATTTGATACAGCAGGTGCACCGAAAGATCTGCAATCAAGAGGAAGGAAACCGGTTCACCCTTGAATTACATAAACATATTTCTTTGTTGTGAGTGAAAAACAAATGACTTGTTTCCACAGCAGAAGCTGGGTGGTGTTTTCACACTGTCAACGCTGTGTTGCTGCCCATGAAAACCTGCTAAACCTAAGAAATAGCTGCTGGATGTGGCGGAAAAGGCTGATCGCGCCCACTGCCGGGCCTGGCCCGGAGAAGCTGCGGTGAGGCTGGAGGGAGGAGACCGCAGCGGCCTGAAATTACTGCCGCACTGTTCGTCTCGTTTTATACAAAATAAGCAGAACTTGTACGCTCGCTTCATTAGGGGGCGTTTGGACGTTTCGAGACCACAAGGGCAGCGTTTCACATCAGCGCCAGACATGTGTACGAATCAGCAAAGCTACTGCTGCTAGCCTAGCTCACTTAGCGAATCCATTCATATGGCGACCGGGACAAACTGTTACAATGTCTTGATTCGTTGTCGAAATTACTAACACGGCGCTCTGAATACTAGAAATTAAGCAAGGCAACAGTTCTGTTTGTACGAATATTGAAGCACAGACAGAGCAGAAGGGAGTAAACGGAAGTGGCAAACAAAACACTCGCAGCGAGCTAGCTCGATAACTAGCTCGATAAGAGCTAGCTGTGCTAACCGCGCTAGCGGCAGGCTACACGCGAGATGGTGGAAACTGTACGTCAAGATTATTACTAAATAACCTCTACTACACCCACACACGGGCTCACGAACATATATATACACTGTGCGCTGTCAGGTGTACCTTTACAATCCTACGAGGCAAACCGGCCATCTTGTGTTAGCTCTTATATTTTTAGCCGTGGACTCGCCTTCTCTTCAGGTTGGACTGACTAAGTTGCGGGGCGGGGACTCATAACGCACTGTTCCGGTGGCTGCACATGACGTAAGGACGTAAGCTGTCGTCACAGACTGTAAAAATGTATTTATTTTTATTTTCACGGTTAGCTAAGATTTTAGATATGTTTTCCAACATCACAACCCATCACTGTTTCAAACTTTCCATCTAACATGCTTCAAAAGCCACCACAATTCAAGGTCCCTCATTGTTTTCTATGTTTAAAAAACTTGGAAGTTGAAAATAAAAACTGTGTCAATTGGAAGAAAATGCAATTCCTCTAGTCTTAACTAACCTAGTTAGCCTCCCAGCTTTACAAGCCAAAAATAATTTTGTTCAGTTCCAAGTACGCTAGATGTGTTGCTGCAAGAGTGAACACAACAGTCTTTATGCACTTCCAAAACCTGGGAAATTCCCACTGCATGAGTTTAATTTTTGATGGGAATGTCGCCATAATAAGAAACCTTTCACAATTCACAGTAGAATTTATAAAAGAGGGTGCCATGGAGCTTATAAATCCACATGGTTGCATCTATCAGAACAGCCATTGCAAACGATGGCGTTAAGAGAAGACTTGTACAAGCCTTACATCATATAACTGAAGAAACTACTAGGATGCTACATTAGTATTTGCAGGGTTTAATGGTTTAATTTAGCTTCACACTGCAGTATTACCACAGACTGCCGACTGTTGAAATCTACTTACCTCTAACCCTGACCAACGTTGTTGAAAAATCTTGCCCACAATGCAGGCCTCGAATTAACGACCCTGACATTAAGACACTAATGCTCTACCGACTGAGCTAGCCAGGCTACCAGGATCAGAAAAATTGGTCTGTTAAAAAAACACATATATATATTAGTTTAGTTTTTGATGATAATGTCACCATGAAAGAAAACCTTTCACAATCTCTAATAGCATTTATAAGAGAGGATGCCACTGAACTGATATATCAACACGGTTACATGTATCAGTACAGCACAGCAAACTTTGGCAGTGATAAAAACTTTAGAACATATTACAGTTGGATATTGAACCAATATTGTTAGGTTTTATTTTAGCATTGAACTGCAGTCGTACCCTTGGACTTCTCTGTTGAAATCTACTTACCTAAGACCGTCACCAACATTGTTTACATTTTCTGCACCCAACATGTGGCTTGAATCAGTGACCCTGATAGTAAGAGTTTCACACTCTTCTGACTGAGCTTGTGATACAGATGTCTGTGGATCGAATCCTAACAGGGGAAAAGTGCACAGGTTCTGCTTAGATGTTTAACATCATTGTTCAAAGAAAAGCAATTTATAATTTAGATTTTTATTTGCATGATCAGAAAACCTGAATCTGAAAACAAAATAATCTCAGCCCAATGTCAGTTTAAGCTTCAAGTGAACCAAACTTGTAGGAGAAAGAAATTTTTTTTTTATTTTATTTAAAGCATTATTATGACAAATATGTTAGGCTCTGTTATAATTGCACTTATTGTATATAGTCCTGGTGTGGCGAGTTTGAAAAGTTATAAATAAAGGCATGAAATGCTGGATATTGGCTTTGTGAGAGGCTACATGCAAAGTGCTTTTTCATCGGGCCACACCGGACTGCACAATCCGCCAACAGCCTTTACCCAACCTTGACACGCTCTTGCTCGAAGCACACCTTTCTCCTGGCCTCTGTGTGGCTTTCTACTTGCTAGCCGTGCTGTTAGGCATTCGCACTTGTGACATGAAGGCCAGGATCAAATCATACCAGCGGCAACAGTGCACATACATTGCTGTTAAATGGAAGAGTACTATCTGGCTGCAGACCTCCATGGTCAGGTCAGTTGCGGTGCAACTGCGAGGACACTCCACTGTCAGGACAAGAAATGCACGGGATGTATTACAAAATAAAATCGTGTAGGCACTTCTGATGGAATTGATTTTCGTGCTAATGCGTTTATATGGTTTTATGTATTAAACTTTTGTTTATTGTCGCTTTTGTTCTGTTATCCTTTTATGTTGCGCATGAGCCCCACCATGAGTTTTTCTGCCTGTGAAGCATACGTTTATATTCTGGACAAAACCTTATCGAGCAGCCATATTGAGAATTTATCATTCTTTTTATTCGTAAAACTGAAGCATTAGCATTTGTCTTTTTCAAAACACTTCTTATCATATACGTCATATACGTAGAGTAATATACGTAGAGTAATATACACTATTCTGCATAATTTTACAACTTTAGTCATTATTATCAGCGACAGTGAACGTCTAGTGTCTTATCCCAGACGGGCATTCCGCAAAATTTGCTGGTTGAATAACCCCGTTGAAACACTCTCTCATCTTGCCTCTACTACTGTGTATGTACAGCAAAATGACAATAAACCTGATTTGACTTGATTTATTATGACCATGGTGATGGCGGCGCAAATGGACGCAGTGGCCCCTTCAGGAAACAGCCAGAGTGAACGTTTTGAGTGTCTTGTCTCTCCCAGATGTTCATTCCACAAAACTTGCGGCCGGGAGACTTTGCTGGGCGTCAGGACAGTGAACGAGCTGGAATTGCGGCGATCGGTTGTGATTTGGATGTACCACACCAACATGGAGTTCGATCAGAGACTACGCCGCCAGTTACCCGAGAGAGAAGGAAGCGCAAATGGTACAAAGGTAAACAAAGGAGGAGGAAGAGAGCCGGGATCCATGCCAGGCTAAAGGCTAACCCCTCCAGACCAGCAGGACCGTCCTCCTACTCTCCAATGTCCACTCCCTCCACAACAAGCTGGACGAGCTACGTTTGCTGAGAGAAACCCACAGAGAGTGGAAAGACTGCTGTGCGTTTGCTTTAACAGAAACATGGCTCCATGACTACATCCCAGACGGATATACAGCTGAAGGAGACGGCATCTCCGGGCGGACAAACAGACAGCTGGCTCTGAACTTTTCCAGAGCCACAGGACACTGAACGTTATCAGGGACTCCTCACACCTTCTCCATAAACTGTTTGAACTGCTGCCACCAGGCAAATGTTTTCAGTGCACTAAAGGAATGAACCTCCAGACTGATCAACAGTTTTATTCCACACGCTGTCAGAATGCTGAACTGCTGATCAAGACATGCAAACACTTGTTTACTTGCTTTTTGCTTTTGGATCCTGAAGAAACGCTCTCTCATCTTGTTGGTACTGCTGTTGTTGCATGCACAGCAAAATGACAATAAACTTGATTTGATTTTGATTTGATAACAGAAAACATAAACGGTGGATGGGATGACTTGGGGCTCAAGCATCTATTTGTAGCACATTTCTAAAAGAGATGTAGGTCAAATAGTTGATCCATGAAAAATAATGGAGGGCATGGTCCAAAATACCACTACTAAGATAACTCTTGAGATCTACACTGCAGTGCAAATTATATATTAAGTGTTCTATGAGAAAACAAAACATGAACACACAACATGATCAGATGTACTGTTACCTTTATTTATTCATCTGTGACACTGACAATGTGCCAAATAATTATTTTTTTTGATCAACTATGATCTCACAAAATTGCCAAGTTATCAATATTGTGGAATGTAAATTTGAATACATCCAATACTACTTCCTCTTCTTTCTCATCCATTTCCCCTTCCCAGTCTCTCCTAAACTGCAGAGCAGCCTCAGCCTGTTCCTGCACAGAACATCAGGCAGGTCCACTCTGGCAGAGAAGAGTTTTGTGGTTGGCCTCAACCCACTCTGCTGCACGTTTGGAATCATGCAGAATACGTACTTCAACCGAGTCCTGTAGAAAAGACAGAAAAAAATAGTCTTTCTGTACCATAACTGCTGCACCAACAGTATCTAACCAACATATACTGTGAAAAACGCCTAGTCCTTCCACTGTTGTGTTCACATCAGCAGGTCTGACGAGAGACACCCTCCACAGTCAGGTCTGCTGCGGCGCAGGCTTGACCGTAGAGGTCTGCAGGCAGATGCCTCTCAGTGTTTTTCCTAATTACATACTTGATGCATACACCTGATTGTTCTTCAATCTGTTACAACATATTATTTTGCAAAACCTGCTGTGAAGTTCGTCATCAACAATGGCACAATTGAATGTATGCTAATGTGTTAAGTCTAAGCTGAATGAGAGAAGTTTTCTTCGATCTCAAATTAAAACACGATCACATACTGCGTATTCTCATTTACTTAAAGTGACCTATATCCAATAACTGCATCATTAATGATTTCTATATGAGTTTACAGCTGCTATACTGATGAGGAACACAAGAAACTATGCATTTTCCTTTCTGTGGATAATAACAATTAAAAAACTCACCATGAGTCTTAACCTTCCCAGATGATCACTGGCATAAAGTGGCGTCATAAACGCCTCTTCTTCTAACTAAACCAACTTTAGGTGTGTTACCATCCGCCACCTACCAGACTGGATGTGTTTGTTTTTTTTTTACCGTCACTTCCTGCAACTGTTGAAACTATCCAGCTCCGTCCTGCACTTTTATCAGTAAGAGAGTCATCAATATATCAACACGAATCCTCGTATGAAATAGTTATAGTCACAGCAGGTATCCACAGTGTGATTAAACATTATAGGTAAAATAACAGCAATTATTATTTACAATTTGGATTTGAAGTGATTTGGATTTTGGTGTGTTACTCTGAGATTGTGTTTGATCCACAGTGAAAAGTCAAGTCTCTAAATTGAGTTTTGGTTGATGGAATCCAGATGAAGATTGCATGACAGACTGTGCCACAAAGCCCGGTGACTGAGGAAGAGTAATGGAGGGCAGGTCGACAGAGCTCCATCAGCACCTACAGTGTATAAAGATGGAGGACGTGTCTCCTCTTCCTCCTGCTGTACAACGTGAAGCTTAAGTATCCTGGAAAGCGTCTGCTGGTGGAGTGGCAGGATGTAGG